CTGCTGTGTCTTAGCACACTGCTGCTGTGCTACGTTCCCCTGAGAAATATAACCAACAGAAGGTGATAGATAGATAGATAGATAGATGATAGATAGATAGACAGATAAACTGATATGAGAAGATTTATTATAGAAATTGCTCAATGGTTCTGAAGGCCAAGAAGTCCAACGATCTGCCATCTTGCAAGCTGAAGAACTAAGGAAGCCTATTGTGTAATTTGGTCCAAGTCCAAAGACCTAAGAATAGGATGAAAAGGCGGGTAATGGTGTTTGTCTGAGTCCTGTGAAAATAAACAGAACCTCATCTTCAGATATTGACCCTGGGTCTTTTATATGAATGATATAGTAAGGCAAATGAGGAATCTAGTAAGTCTTTTTTAAAAATTATTTATTTATTTATCTTTAGAGGGGAAGAGAAGGAGAGAGGGAGAGAAACATCAATGTGTGGTTGACTCTTGTGCATCCCCTGCCAGGAACTGGCCTGCAACCCAGGCATGTGTCCTGACTGGGAATTGAAACGTGATCCTCTGGTTCACAGGCCTGCACTCAATCCACTGAGCTACATCAACCAGGGTGGAATCTAGTAAGTCTGATGTAGGCTACATAAGCTGATAGCTGTTGCTTATTCTGGACAGTTGAGAATAGTGTCAAGGTAGGGGAAACTCATTTTATTAATCATCTATGTATATGCATTTGATGTGGCAACTCACATTTGTTCACTTATTTTATCGGATTCATCCTAGGCATTAACATTCTCAATTAAAAATGGGAAAGCTAAGTCATAAACAGATTTAGTGCAGTATCAGAAGTTCCATGATTAGTAAGACTCAGAGCCAAGACTGAATACCAAGACAGCACTTGTTCCCCCTATCTCCCTGATCCTCCTGTAATCAGCTCTTTATTGTGATACAGGTAATATAACTGATATGTACACAAAGTCCTTATAGGAGGCAAGACCAGAGGTAGAATGAACCAGCTGTTTTGTGGATTCTTTCTATGCTTGTTAGGGGGTCAGACGACCAACTGTCAGGAGAGATAGAAAAAGGATGCTTAATAATGGTTAGAAATATAGGACTAAGAATTCACTCTCTATTGGGCCCAGGTGTCTTGAGGGTAAAGGAGAGAAACGGGAAAAGAATGTTTGATTTTCTTAGTTTTAGAGAGGAAAACAAATAGATTAAAATGAGGTAACATGAGGGATTCAATCCCCAGAGACTAAAGAACAAGAAATACATCCTATTTAAAATAAGTCAGGTTGCCTACTCCACAGTCTGCTCTGGAGACTCTGCAATCATAAATAATTTCAAATAATATTAAAGTTGTTCTGCAAAAATAGATTTTCTATGTTGAAATGTATTTTACTATAAAATAACAAACTGGAATACTTATCTTTAAGAAAAAGTAAGAGAAAGAAGGACTCAAACTCTGCTGAATGCAGAATAACTTTCTTACGCCTGTGACAGGGAAGGTGTGAAGGGTTTCAGTTTTCCTATCTCTGTAATGGATGGTGTCTAAAGTCCATTTCAGCTGTACCTACTGCTTAACCTGGAAGAAGTTCCACCTCTAAGAAGAAGGCTTTTTTTTCTCCCCCAGCTTGTATTTTTTTTGGTGAATTTAGATATTGACTAGGAACAAGCAAAGGGGTCAACTAGAAGTCCAGTGGTTAAAAAAGATAAGGAAGAGATATGAAATGTTTCATTCATGTACCTCACTGAATGGAAGAAAAATTCACAATCCTGTTAATTTCTGCAATTGTTATGGGTCCAAAGTCCATGTGCCCAGTGCTTTGAAACTCAGAACGTTAGAGTTTGAATAAGGAAAGATTTACTGATTGAGAAGGTGATGAGAAGATCTTAAGAATGTGCACAGTTAATTGTATTTTGGGTTCATTGTAGTGTGTCATATAATTGTGCACTTGAAACTTATATGATTTTATTAAACAATGTCACCCCAATAAATTTAATTAAAGAAACAAGAAATAAAAGGGAAAGCACAAAATTCAGACTTCTTTTATGTCAAAGGAAGTGGGAAAGAGGAAGGCCAAGAGATATTGACGGCCGCAGATATCTGGGCACCAGCGGGGATCTGAGGAAGACTGTGCTTAGTCTGTTGACTCTGGTTGATGTGAGTTCTGTCATGAGAGTCCTGCAAATCTTTGTTAAGTAGTCCTTATTTTTGTACATGCTTCTCCTATTTCCTCAGGGGAGGCACCTTCTGGTGAGGGGCTGTTTTTGTAAAACTTAAGCTGCAAACAGATTTTCTTTCATGATTAGCATGCCGATGTGCAAGACTAAGCAGAAGCTATTAGCCTGAAGGCCATGGGAACAAAAATGGAGTGAGAGAGACTGAGAATTTCACTCTGCTACACAATGACCCATAGATCCAAAAGTTTCAAGAGCGCTGAGGGGCTAAGAAAGTATTGCTAGTACAAGATTTGTTAAGTCATTAGGAGAAATTTATGCAGCAGTAAATAATATGATTTTAAGGCCTTTACAAACACTAGCAATTCTCAGGAAATCCCACCATTATTTTCACAAATTCTTGGAAATTGAAAACCCAGATCAAGAATATCTGGATTAGAGGGTGGACTGCAAAATCTCAGCAGGGGGTCCAGGAATACTGCAGGGAAGCAGGAAATGTACTTACCAAAGTAGAGGGGAGGCCAGAGCATATAATTCACAACACCAGCCGTAAAACAAAGGGCATTTTGCTAATGCTAATTAATAGATGTAAAATTAAAAAAAATTCAGCTACTATAATTATATTCCTCTTCATGAGATATATGGATTTCTAAAATGTAATTAAATGTATTCTAAGATATTAACAAAACTCTGAGAATTACAATATGAACTGCTGTGTGTATTAGTGCGTCTGTTGGGTATAAATCAGTCACCAGTAGGTTAACTCTGTGAATTGTTCAAGAGTCACTAATCCTTTGTGTTTCTCATTTCCCAGGTACAGAATTATAATATTGCCTGCCTCATAAGATTTAAACAAAATACTGCAGGAAAAATACACAACACAGTGCTTGTAGAGTATAGGAAATGATCGACACATTTTAGTACTTGTCCTCTTTGCTTATCATTACCTTTCCTTATATGTCTAGCATGTACACAAAACATCTGTGGCATTTTTTCACTGTTTTTGTTAGAATATTACTATTGGGGAAACTTTCTAACTGAGGATAAGAGGAAAAGATTCATTCTTGTTTTTAAATTTTTTCTGGAGATGCTCTTCTTTGAAGTTTATACAGCAAGACTCTTCCAAGGAAGAGGATCTAGGCCATACAGCTGCTCAGTGAAATAAAGAAAGAGGCAATGTAGTGCTTAGGAACAACAAATAATCTGGCTTCAAGGGACCTATGTTCTAGTCCCTGCTCCTCCTGTTCATTCACCAGTGTGAGTGGTGGAGAAAGCCCTAAACTCCACTGACCTCCTCTAGCAAAGATAATCTTATTAGTGCTCTTGTGATAATGCCTGCTTATCTCCCTTGCTGACTTGTGGTGAAGTTCAGATAAGTTAATGGCACAATGACACTTTAAAATTATATAAATTATTGGTTGGGGTACTGAGCTCCTATCCCAGTGGAAACTGGGTGGAGAAGAGCATGGACTGCACTTCTATGGATGGCAGAGTCTGTGGGAACGGACCCCCACTGTGCTGCTCAGTAGATCCTGTGTCTCAAGTGGTAGCACAGGTATTGGGTGCTTTGGTCCCATGCCTTAATTTTGAACAGGATCAAATAACTTCTTGCTGTGAGTGAGAAAAAATTTGACACATTGAATATTTGTCAGCTAGACTAGTGCAGTTTTATTTACTTTTCAATAACACGAGGTCAAGGAAAAGAGGTGGGGGTTGGAAGGGAAGTGGAGAAGCACTGGAGCTGTTTACTCAGAAGATCTAGAATGGGTATCTATTTTGAGTCCCCCCCCCCCCAGTATTTGGCTTTATTTCATCCTGCATAAGGTGAATATTATTTCTATGTAGATGACCTGCTGTGGACTTATTCCCCAGACTCAGTATGGTGGCCAGACTATTCCTCATGCCACTCCTGGTGTTTTCTTTAGCGTTAAGTAGAAGTTTTCATTGCAGTGGTTAGTTCCATTACTTTCATCTGAGATGTCTACTCATTTTAACAATCTGATTTTTTAAATATGGGAGGGATGATTTTAAATTATCAATATTTACCTGACATTTTTTCCTCCTGTTGATGCTGCCCTGGGAAATTAGGATTAAGTTAAAACCATGCTATCTATGGGAATAGGCTATGTTTCTGTCTTTGGTCATTGCTATTTATGGTTTCCCCCACACCCAGAAATTTAAATTATTTTCTTGTTGCTTGGAATGACTGACTAATTTTTTTATAACTTCCAGTATTTTTTATTCTTTTCATTAATACTGTGGAGGAATAGTTGGTAGAAACTAAGAATTAATTTTGCCCTCTTTCTCCAGAAGTTGTATCTAGAGAGTATATTAATGTATACATTAATTTATTTATCATAAACAATGAAGAGAGATACATTTTAAAAATGTTCCACTCTAGCTCGTGTAGCTCAGTGGATTTGAGTGCTGACCTATGAACCAAAGGGTCGCTGGTTCAATTCCCAGTCTAGGGCACAAGCCTGGGCTGTGGGTTAGGTCCCCAGTAGGAGGCGCAGGAGAGGTAACCACACATTGATGTTTCTCTCCCTCTCTCCATGAAGGGTGAGGGCGATGTTCCTATTATTATTTGAGAAATGGTTAATGCCAGAAGTGATTTTAGTGAATGGATATTAAGTCACTTTTCTTGGTCATTAGTAGACTGCACACCTAGAACTCAGATACAACCTTTTGATGTCTTTTGACTTGACATCAAGTCCAAAGTACTGTTTACTATGTTTTTCATTTTGCCCTCTTCTTTTAGAATTTGTGTGTATATGTGGTCAAAGAGATATTTATAGCTCTGTCACGTGTTCATCTGACCAAATGCCATGTTCTATCTTCTCTCTTTTTGCAGTTCAAATGGTCAGATACGTGAAAGAGGTTCAAGGCAGGAATCAAACTGAAGTGACAGAATTTATCCTTTTAGGAATCTCAGACAACTCAGATCTACAAGCTGCCCTTTTTGGACTGTTTCTCTTAATCTATATGGCAACTATGGTGGGTAATTTAGGGATGATCATGTTAATTAAGATTGATCGTCATCTCCACACTCCCATGTACTTTTTTCTTGGCAGCCTTTCCTTTGTTGATGCCTGTTACTCTTCTTCTGTTACCCCTAAGATGCTGGTGAACCTTGTGGTTGAGAATAAGGCTATTTCTTTTAATGGATGTGCTGCCCAGTTTTACTTCTTTGGCTCCTTCCTGGGGACCGAATGCTTCCTGTTGGCCATGATGGCATATGACCGCTATGCAGCCATTTGGAACCCTCTGCTATACCCAGTTCTCATGTCTGGGAGAATTTGCTTCTCCCTAGTAGCAACCTCATTCTTAGCAGGCTTTGGGAATGCAGCCATACACACAGGAATGACTTTCAGATTGTCCTTTTGTGGCTCTAATAGGATCAATCATTTCTACTGTGACACTCCACCCCTGCTCAAACTCTCTTGCTCTGACACCCACATCAATGGCATTGTGATCATGATTTCCTCCAGCTTTAATGTCATCAGCTGTGTTTTGATTGTCCTCATTTCCTACCTGTGTATCCTCATTGCCATCTTGAGAATGCCTTCATCAGAGGGCAGGTACAAAGCCTTTTCTACCTGTGCCTCCCACCTCACAGCTGTCACCATATTCTTTGGGACAATTCTCTTTATGTACTTGCGCCCAACATCTAGCTACTCAATGGAACAAGATAAGATTGTTTCTGTATTTTATACTGTAGTGATCCCTATGCTAAATCCTCTCATCTACAGTTTGAAAAATAAGGATGTGAAAGAGGCCTTGAAGAAGATATTAGAGAAATGCATACCATAAAGCCATGTGACACTTCATCCTGTTATGTAAAAGAAAATGTTTCCATATCATTTTTCTGATTGCTTCAGCTCTTTCTTTTGTGCTAAAGTAGATTGTTTAAAATAAATTACACTTAATCTGGTGTCTTACAGGTATATCCATGCTCTGTATGATGAATCATCACAATGGGGGAGGGCAGTGCCTGGTAAATTATCAAAACTTTTTGAGTTGTCTGACTTAAGTTTAAGTTCCAGTACTAATATTTAGCTTTTCTTAATACCAATTTCATTGTGTATAAATGTTGTAAAAATTGTGAAAGAAACCCAGGTATTTGTACTTCTACAATGATCTCTTTTGGATATGGGCCGCCCCCTGGGAAGAAGAATGATCTTGGGCATGCCAAATCCTTTCAACACAGACAATTGCAAGAGGAGAACTCAGCTTTGTGGTTAAACTGGGAAGCTGAAGCAATAAATACTTCAACTCTGAGAAGCAAATCTGGCTAGCTTATCTCAGCGTTGCTATGAATAATAATACTATTCTACTCACAAGGCTGTCAAGAGTACCAAATAAGATACAAAAAAGTGTCTATCAAGTTTATAGTAATATGACTATAACAGCCACAATGGGGGATTATTATACTAACTTTGTGAATTAATTGTGATATTTTGAGGGTAGTAATAGATATGTTTTAACTTTTTATCTCTATTCCTCCCAAATCTTTCTACAGTTTTCAATAAATATTTATCAAACTAAATTATCTATCTTATTGTTCACGGTAGGGAGTGGGGGAATGTTGATTTTGGAACAAAGAGGAAGCAGCCTTTTTCTGTGAAATGATGTGTTGAAGGAGGCCTAAGTAATGAACTGGAATTGGGTAAATGTTTATTTCCTATTTCTTCTTATTTCACCATCCACTGTAGACCAGGAGAAAGAACATCAGTGCTCCACATACTCCAAGTGAGATCCCCTCATCCTGAAAAATTAGTTAGAGGCCACAAAGGAAGAGTTACATCGTTCTGTTCACTCTCAGCTGTTCTCCTAACTCCCTATAACTTTCCCTTTCAACTATTATTGTAGTATATTTATTGTTGATACTATTACATATGTCCCTGATTTCTCCACTGTTTGCTCTGCTCTACCTAGCCCCTGACCCTGTCCCCCCAGCCTTCATCACATTGTCTTTGTCCATGGGTTATGCATATATGCATTCATGTTCTTTGGCTAATCTCTTCTAGTCCCCACATCCACTTCTGAGATCTGTCCATCTGTTCCATGTGTCCATGACTCTGATTATATTTTGTTTGTTATTTTATTTTGTTCATTAGATTCCACATATGAGTGAGATCATATGCTATTTGTCTTCCTCTGACTGACTTATTTCACTTAACATAATAACCTCTAGGTCCACCCATGTTGTTGCAAAGGGTAAGAGTTTCTTCTTTTTTTAAAAAATATATTTTATTGATTATGCCATTACAGTTGTTCTATTCTCCCCCGTTTATTTCCCTCCACCCTGCACACCCCTCCCCCACCATTCCCGCCTTTAGTTTATGACCACGTGTCTCAAGTTCCTTAGATTCTATATTTCCCCTACTATTCTTGCTCTCCTCCCCTATCTATTTTCTACCTACTGTCTATGCTACTTATTTTATGTACCTTCTCCCCCCTTCTCCTTCTCCTACTCCCCTGTTGCTAACCCTCCATGTAAACTTCATTTCTATGGTTCCCTACTGATCTAGCTGTCCTCTTAATTTGCTTTTGTTTTAGGTGTGGTTTTTAATAACTGTGAGTTTGCTGTCCTTTCACTGTTCATCTTTTTTACCTTCTTTTTCTTAGGTAAGTCCTTTTAACATTTCATATAATAAGGGCTTGGTGATGATGAACTCCTTGAATTTGATCTTATCTGAGAAGCACTTTATCTGCCCTTCCATTCTAAATGAAAGCTTTGCTGGATAGAGCGATCTTGGTTTTAGGTCTTTGGATTTCATGACTTGGAATACCTCTTTCCAGAGCCTTCTTGCCTGTAAGGTCTCTTTTGAGAAATCTGCTGACAGTCTGATGGGGACTCCTTTGTAGGTGACTGTCCCCTTATCTCTTGCTGCTTCTAGGATTCTCTCCTTCATTTGAATCTTGGATAATGTAATGATAATGTGCCTTGGTGTGTTCCTTCTTGGGTGCAACTGTGGGTGCAACTTCTTTGGGAGTTTCTGAGCTTCCTGGACTTTCTGGAAGTCTATTTCCTTTGCGAGATTGGTGAAGTTCTCCTTTATTATTTGTTCAAATAAGTTTTCCACTCGTGGCTGTTCCTCTTTCCCTTCTGGTACCCCTATAATTTGGATATTGGAATGTTTAAAGATGTCCTGAAGGTTCCTAAGCCTCTCCTCATTTTTTTGAATTCTTGTTTCTTCATATTTTTCTGTTTGGTCATTTTTATCATCCTTCTGGTCCACTCCATTGATTTGAGTCGCACTTTCCTTTCCATTACTATTGGTTTCCTGTGCATTTCCCTTCATTTCAATTAGTTTAGCCTTCATATGTTCCTCTAATTTGTGACTAAAATCAATCGGTTCTGTGAGCATCTTGATCACCAGTATTTTGAACTGTGCATCTGAAAGTTTTTCTATTTCTTCGTTGCTTAGAGTTATGGGCTCTGGGGCTTTGAGTTCTTCTTGAGCCATAATGTTTTTCTCTGTTCATGCCTGTTACATATGAGGAGTGGAGCCTTAGGTGTTCACCAGAGCGGGACAACCCAGGTTGCTGCGTTGTGACGCTTTATGTGGGAGCGGGGTCAGAGAGGGACAATAATGGTCCCCTCTGCTGCTTCCTGCCACTGGGGCCTGCGTAATCTATCTCACTGCTCACTCCTTTGCTGGTTTATCTGCATGCAAATGTGTGACCGCAGTCAGCCTGCCGTCTTGCGCCCTCAGTGGGTCCACCCGCTGCTACTCTACACCTGGGATCCGCCCATGGCTGCCTGTGCATCTGGGTCATGCACATTGGTCTTGCACCTGGGTTGGTCTGGTGGATCTTTCCTGCCTGAACCCGCTCTGCTGCTGGCTCTGCCCCTCTTACTGGTTTGGTTGAATGGTTTGTTGTTGTCAGACTTCCATATAGTTCAATTTTCTGTGGTTTGGCTGCGTTTTTGTTGCTAAAACTTTGTTGTTTTTAAACTTGGTTGTGCGAGGAGGTACAGTGTGTCCACCTATGCCTCCATCTTGGCAGAAGTCACGGTTTCTTCTTTTTCATAGCTGCATTGTATTCTCTTGTGTAAATGTACCACAGCTTTATTATCTGCTCCTTAATGATTGGACTGTTTCCAGATCTTGGCTATTGTAATTAAGGTTTCTGTCAAAGACATTCAAACTATATCATAGTGGGCAGCCTCTTTCATGTTTCTTTTTGTTCTAATTCATCTACTTTAATACATATCCTTTAACTGCTTCTTATTTATCAACTTAGAAAAGTGATACTTGGTCATTCTTACTGCTCTCATTCCCACATTTTATTATTGTCAATGGAGATCCCATGGCATATAGTATAATGACTCACTCTTAATTACCCTTAATTCTATGGTTCCACTTTCTCTCCTTGCTACTCATCTGATTAAATCCTAACTTGATTAAATTTCAATGTTTCTTCCTCTGTCCTACACTTATGTTGCTTAGGGTAGTTGGAGGAATACACTCAGCACTTAACTCTGTTGCTAACCTTGACTCACACTTCATCCTCCAAAATATAAACATGTTGGATAAGATCATACCCATATTACTATCTCTAAATCTTTATACATATACTTTTCTTCCCACCTGTCATTATAAGCAATGTGTCCCTGCTTCTAGCTAAGACTAGTGCTTTCACATCTTTGAGATTTCCATAAACTTTACTTCAGAGTTACATTTCTATTCTTCCCAAGCATCAGTTTCTCAAACACTACCGAAATGTCCTTATTTGTTTATAAACATCATCTGGTATAACCTTTCTTAATAATTTTCTTGGCTGAAAGTCCCATCCAGTCACCAGCTTCTTTCTCTGACCCCTTTATAATTGTGCTTTGGTCACCATCCCTGCTTTCTCATATCCCATGACATGTGCCAATAGTATGCTTGCACCTCTGCTTCATTGAACATAATCTTGTCAGGAACATATCAGCCTTTAACACTACTGCATCTAAAGATTGCCCTTCTGTCTCATTTTTACTAGCTATCTCAGGAGGACTTTTCATAATTAATTCCTTTAGGTATCCCCAAAATATTCTGTTCCAGGTTTCTATATTACCTCAATCTTCAGATTTTTGTCTCTCTCCATGGCCACCTTTGCTCAGTAATCTGATGGATTTTCCTCTTCTTCATGTTGGAGCCAAAGACTTAATCCTTTTAATTTCTCCACTGATGCATTGGTTCTCCATCTGTATCCACTTCTTACATGACTTAAGAAGTCTGCCATGATTCCAAAATCTACATCTCTAGCCCTGACTTCTAACCCAAGTTCCAGATTTGTATATTGAATTGACAATCTGGCATCTAGGGCCTTTGCACACATTGAAGGATTAAGCAATTAGCTTTCCTGTTTCAGTTATCATACTCAGACATCTATAAAATAATCATACTTTTTTACTATGAGGAGGAACTTCATCTTAGCATCATACTTATGTGTTCTTATGCTTGGAATAAGAAAACAGACAACCTTTATATCTTTATTTACTCATAATACAGTAAAAGCCATTCATCCATATGCAAAAAATTGCACACATTTAATGTATACAATTTGATAAATTTGAACATATATGTATATCAATAAAGTTGTTTAAAAATCTATTAATGATTGAGGAAGAAGAACAAAGCAAGAAGGATCACAATACTTGATATCAAACTGTACTACAAGGCCACTGTAATCAAAACAGCCTGGTATTGGCATAAAAACAGGCACATAGATGAATAGAACAAAACAGAGAGCCTAGAAATAAATCCAAGTCTGTATAGTCATTAAACATTTGACAAAGGAGGAAGCATAAAATGGAGTAAAAATAGCCTCTTCAACAAATGGTGTTGGGATCTGGACAGCTACATGCAAAAAATGAAACTAAATCACTAACTTACATCATACACAAAAATAAATTCAAGGTAGATAAAGACTTAAATATAAGTTGTGACACCATAAATGTCCTAGAGGAAAACATCTGCAAGAAAATCTCAGACATTCCATGCAGCAGCATCTTCACTGATACGCGCCCCTTAAAGCAAGGGACACAAAGGAAAGAATAAACAATGGGACCTCACAAAATTGAAAAGCTTCTGCATGGCTAAAGAAAACAGTATTAAAATAAAAAGAGAACCAACCAGCATTAAAATAAAAAGAGAACCAGAAGGGAAAACATATTTGTCAGTGATTCCTTGGACAAGAGTTTGATCTCCAAGATATATAAAGAACTCACATGACTCCACTCCAGGAAGACCAAAAACCCAGTTAAAAAATGGGCAAAAGACCTTAACAGACACTCTTCCAAGGAGGACATACAGAGGGCCTAGTGACATGTGAAAAGATGCTCAGCATCACTAGACATCAAAGAGATGCAAATTAAAACCACAATGAGATAACACTTCACACCAGT